GAGTTGGCTATAAATGTCATCTCTATCCATAAAATGTAGTTTAAACCGTAGGCAACTGGAATTTATAGAAAACACAATATTGACTGTGAGGGAAGAAGAAAACTATCTCTGTTTTAAAATAATTTTGGAATCTTAGTTAATCCTACTATAGTTAAGGAGAAAATGCTATGTCAAGGTCTTCAGGAACTCTAAGGGAGTTTTATATGGCTTTTAATAATAAATACAGTTTATCACTTTGGGGCTGAGGCAGTAAAAAGCCCCTGCCTTATTTTCAAGCTCTCTCTTTTTCTGCCTTGGGTACACTGAAAGTTATGTGTGATGTGTGCCATAGCTTAAAGATGGAGGAGGGTAGCCTGATTGACATTGGGCTTTATGTGAGCAACAAATCAACTTTGGTTTTCTTATGCCACTGGGGACAAAAAAAGAATAAATACATTTTCTTGAGGAATATGACATAAACTAAGACATTTTCAGCATAATTTCTAACTATTTTTGAAAGAGAGATCAGAAGTCTAAACACAAATGTAGTTTAGTCTGTTCAGCCATAATAAATATAGTTAGGAAACATGGAGGGTTTTTCCTTTAATGATTCAGAATCTTGCAGTTTCTCAGGATGAGAAGTTTATAGATGAATTTTCATTATGTAGTACTGCAGATATAAATACAAATTGTGTAGGAGATAATGGATTTATCTTTGCTCTCAACCAGACTTATTCACTGCTTTAAGGGATGCTTTATAAAATCCCTGACAACAAATTATTTTTTAATCATTAGATTATTCTCTATTTTCCAAAGTAATCTGCTAAAAATCCACTTAATCAGGATTTTATTATTTATCTACCACAGCTGCTGAGAAAAATGTGAACTCATATATTTATTAAAATTATAGTGTAGCTTTATGGGCATTTACAAGGTGAAATAAAATTTTATTTATGAAATTACATAAGCCAAATAAGTTATAGTAGTGTATTGTCTAACTATACATCTAAGAGAGAGCAAAAAATTCTAAATTTGCATTGCCTTTACCTTCTATCACAAGCCATGTGAGATATCTGCAAAGATAAAGTCAGGTATTGTTCTAAACGAATTACCTCTAAATGATCATACTAACTCAACATGCATTGTAGAGGATAAAGTAGAATCAGAGGAGGATGCTACAGCAAGAATGATGAATTCAGAAGCTATAACTAGCCACTTTCGCCTATTCCATGGACCAGAGCGACAAAGTAGATCAAATATCATATGAAAACAGAAAAACAGGAGAAGAACAACAGGAAGAGGAAAGGAGAAGAAACTTTGCTTACTGTGATTTGATTTTGGAATTATTTTTCAACACAGGATATACTATCACTTTTTCATCATAGTTTAAAAATACGAAAAAATGGAATTAGTCTATAAAATTGATATTATTCTAACACTTCAAATTGTATTTGAGATGCTTATAAAGTTCATATATCAAGTGAGGAAAAACCAACTATACATAATAAAACTCCATAATAGTTCAGGAAAATTATATCGGGTATTGAGAATAAACTTTAGGAGCCTCCTTGAACTGCAGAATATGATTCCCAGCAAGACTCCATTCAAACAAAACTACCCTAAACTATGTTTTCAGTGTTTATGTATATAGAACTTTATAGTGATAATTTTTGTCTCTAGGAAAAACAATTGTCTGAAAATTATATGATCATTAAGTATGACAAATTTAGCCACCTCACTTTTATTTTCACAGATCATGTTAGAAAGAAAGCTACAAAATGCCAGATTAACATTTCAAAATGTATTTGAAATTAATGAAGGGAAACTGATTCAGTTAGCAACGCTAAATAAAACAGACAATTCATACAGATGTTTTCCCTGTAAAATATTAAATAAACACTCAAAAATGTCAACTTTTTCAATTTAATAAACCGATCCCTAACTTATTTCTCTATTTGAGCAAAGTTTCTCCTTGACCAAAGCTCTAGTTTTATATGCAAGGTTTTTTTTCCGGTCCAAACACGTACTTTTTAGAAAATAGAGGTGTTTAAATGGAACTATAAATGACTTTTCTCTCTCTTTCTGCCTCTTTCCTCCTTGCCCAAACACTGAAATATATCAGGTTGTATAAAACAGCTATTTTACTTTGTCCCCAGTTTGTCAATTATAAGCACAAATGCTGAGAATTGTTCTATTGGAGCTACAAGAGTGGTAAAGTGGAAACACTTGACTTACTTTCCATTGTTTCATCAGCTCTCGTACTCCCTTGGAGTCTTCTAGGAGTCTCTCCTTATGGGTAGCATCCTGTAGGACATTGGCAGTTGTTTCAGCTTCTGTAAGCCAGGCAAGAAACTTTTCCAGGTCCAGGGGGAACTGTTGCAGTAATCTATGAGTTTCTTCCAAAGCAGCCTCTCGCTCATTCACTCTGCAAAAGAAAAAATATCCAGATGTAATTCACAAATATCAGAATGGTGCACCTAGTGAACTCCACAAAAATAGCAAAGATGGAGGGACTAAATTGTAATATACCAACAAAAGAATGAGTTGTTGCTAAAGCTCTTCCTTTAAGCGACAGCAACTAGAACACCATGCAGGCTGTTAACCTTCGTTTCTATTTAACTTAAAGGCTTCTGCATGGGGGAGGAATGCAAAAATACCTATTTAAAAAATGAATGACAATTGCAGACTTCTATAAATCCCCTCCACAGAAAAGAGGTGATTTTATATACATACATATATATATAGTTAACTTTGTAGTTTTTGCTGGTCAGTTTGGAAAACTTATTTTAATATGCTACAAAAGTTGAAACCAACCTTTATAGGTAAAACCCTAAAACCCCTACACCGTGCTTGTCTTGTCTTTGATGTCATCCTGAGGCAGGAAACAAGCATTAGACAGGCAAGGATAAAAGTCAAGAGACTACAAACTTAGAGTCAAAAGATAAACACTGGAGGAAAAGATAAAAAGAAGGAATTGGAGTGCAAAGGGACAGAATACTAATAAGTAAAAAAATAATATTTCCTAGAAACCATTGTGCATAATATAATTTTGCATGACACCTGTTTGTTATAATTATTGTGTTAACTTCGTATGTCATTACCTGATGGTCATACAACTGAGAACATGGTCCAAAAGAAAAACGTTACATGTAATGGAAAAAGCAGAGTCTTAGAAAATGGACAGCTTTGGGTTCAATTCCCAATGTCCCTAACCAGTGATGCGACAGGACAAGTTACTAACTTCTCTGATTTCTCAGTTTCTCATCTGCAATATTTATTGCTGTGATGAGAATTAAAATACAATAAAGCATGTAAAGTTGAATGCCTCACATGTTCTACAGTAACACATTATTGTTACCCAAAAACATTAGTTCCTTCTGCCCACATCCCTCCTCATTCCTCTAGTCCTTTAAAAAGGATGAAACAAATTCCCTAATGACATAAAACTCTAAAAAATTATTCATATTTTCTGATAATATGTATAGTGCATGTATTGTGAATCCACACACACATATGCCCTCAGCAAAATCTACATAATAATAGCTTGGAAGGGAAAATTGCTTTAGGCAGTAACAATCCCATCTAAAAAGATTCAGGTAAATTTTGTCTGCAATGAGGAAATTAGTACTCTATTTAAATGCCTTATTTGCCTTCTATTACTACACAAACACTTTCTGGGATTAAACATAAACTAAAAATGGATTTTAAAAAACTGAACACTTGAATATGATACACACTGCTTGTTAAGATGTGATTGTCAATAATTATGCAAAACTGCAATTTATTTCAGCAGCAACTTTATCATGGGATGTGCAAACCAGGCAATAAACAACTCCTGCCGAGCCAGCGGCAGCAGAACCCCCGGAAGAGCTGTTTATTCATCATGGGTGAGGTTTTTGCTGAGCACACAGTCTTCTACAGTATAGTTGCAGCGCTCATACTGGATAAAAATCTTCTGTCTGCATTAACTGGTGGAGGGTAGAATAGGTTTATGGGGATGCAGCTATTGGAAAAAAGTAAGCATTGCACTAAGCTATTTATCAATTCCTAAACAAACTTTAATACTGCACAGCTGAAAGGTAGCGTAGTGTTCTGGTTGGGCAAATAAATTAAACCCCATGTAGTTCAAGGGCTAACCTGGACTGCTGGCTCCCTGCTTATCTAGTTTGCAGGCAACCTATCACTGCAAGGAGAAATATCAAAATCGTCATTTATTTATTTATCTTTATATTTATTATGATTTCAAAATTCAGAACCATTGCAACAGTTCCAAGAATCTTAATGCTACAATGTACCGGCTGGACCATGTGTAACTGCTGACAATTGACCTGTTCTGACCTACAAAAGTGGCAATTTCATCCAGTTTGTGCTAATATTTACTCCATCTCCAGCCCGAAGTTTGAGATAGAAACAAGCTGTCATAGTCCAGAAGACAAATGCAGGGTTAGACATTGACATATTTTCTAATGTAGTCCAATTTCAAACAAAATAAAAGGACAATATGAAACTTTGCCATGGCAGAGTGAAATTTAGAAAATTAGATATTGTGCATTTTATTATTGGCATTGTGTCTGCGATGAGCTGTACTTGATACATCTTAGCGCCTCTATCCTTAAACTAGAAGCAACACTTACCCTCTCCTTCCAACAAAAATAACTGGTCAATAACTTTCCAAGTTATTTGCAAAATGCAATGCACATAAATCAGATGAAAGTGTCTACGAAGACAATGAGATTTTCAGCTAAATCCTACCAGTGAGTTTGCTGCTTTGTAAATTAGGCCCTTAGGGAAGAACAGTAACTCTTTCAGGACAGTAAGGAACCATTTTCCTAAATGATACCCTGGTGATCAGAAATACTGACATCATGCTGAATATTTTCTAATTTGGAAAATAACTTAAAAATTCAATGGCAGCAACAGCAGAAAATCTCTTCAAATGAACTCCTTCACAAGCCTCTTTGATCATAGGTGAGACTGTTGTTTCCTATTTGTGTGGGGGATTTAAAGCTACAACCTTTCTCCTGGATCAATGCATGTACATTGTATTTCTAAATTTTAATTGTGCCAAGTCTAGACAAGAAATAAGTCAAGGATACTTAATTTCCAGATTTGTGCATTCAAAATAGCTCTAAATGTATCACATATTTTTAAATTTTCCTTAACCATATGGCTTTAAATTGTTTATATGATAAATAAAAGTATATTATAAAAATAATAAGAATCATAAAGAAATAAAAGATCTGTGTAGAACAAAACTAAAGATCTTGAATATGGATTATTTTTTAAAATTCTTCTGTACAGGTAATCAAACTATAGACCCTGGAGGAAATTTGGTTATACTTTAAAAGTAACAATGACCAGATAATTAGAAATTGTAATAATACTCTCTAAATAGAATCTACTGTATTGGTTAAGTTCGTTTTTATATACGAAGTTTAATAATCAGCCATTTCAGCTTTATGATGCACAAAAATAGCTGAGAATTTGACGGAGTAAAGAATGATATGGTGCTTTGGAAAGGTTTTCCTTCTACTCATAAGGGTACCCTGTACCCCTGTCAATATGTAAATAAGGGCGGTGTAGAATATTGTTCTCAAAGTATGGGTCACAGTCCAGCAGCACCAGCACCATATGAGAACTTACTACAAATGCAAATTCTCAGGCCTCAGCCTAGACCTACTAAATCAGAAACTCTGTAGATGGAGTCCAACAGGCTGTGTTTTAACAAGCCTTCCAGGCATTTCTAGTATGTGCTAAAGTTTGAGAGTCATTACTGCTAGGGATCAGATTTTGAGAACTATTCCTATAGCGGATGCTGGGCTAGGCTGTCCAGGCCCCTCTTCAGAACTGAAATACTTCCGGCCCCAGCTGCCAAGAGTGCTGCTGGCTGACAGTCCTCAGCTGTCATCCCTATCTGAGAACCGGCTTCAGCTAAAGAGAATTTCCTAGCTCAAAGTTAACCCCTTCATCCCAGAGGCTGACTGCACCCATTGACTGGTTGGTATATGATGCACGGGCTACGAAAGCCTGGCTCCCTTGCTGCAACTCAGGACGATGCTAAAGGGCTACCCTAGCTTCAGACCTCAGAGCTCCGCCTAGTCTTAGGGGGAAGAGAGGAAGTGTAGGGAAGGGAGGGAGAGGGGAGGGTTGATTGTTGTGGTTGTGACTGCTCCCCTCACAGGTGTTAATCTCGAGAACACGCCAATAAAATCCTTTCACATTAACTGCATTCTCACAATCTTCTTTCTGGGGAACCTGACCTGTTGAATTGTCACTCTAAATAAGGATTTTAAAAATATGCTTGCCTAAGGAATGTATGTGAAGAAACATACAACTACTTAGGCAGACTGTGGTCTCGAACAGGAACAGGATGGAGAATTCTCACATGCAGCAATTGTGTCTGAAGAGCTACTGCACTTTTGGTTGCCCTTTAAGGAGAGCTATAGATAATGCAGACTTGTATTATCACTAGTTAGAAGCAAGAATCTACTGAAGGGGTTAAGTGCTGGAGCTATAAACTTAGTACAACCCTACACCTGCCCTAGAAGGTGCTCACCCAGAGACAACTTCACGTGAAAAGCAAAGAATCACAGAATCCATGCCTTCAGCATATCCATATTCTTTTTAAGAACTGATTATCAACGAAGCATCAGATAAATATATTCTGATCTGGCATTAGACCTTCCCCCAACATACACCATAGTATCTCCGAATCAATCTCTAAGACTCCAGATTTTCTATTGAGTTGAATATCACCAGTTTCTTATGGGCCAACCTCATACATAAAAAGCAAAAGAAAAAAGGGAGGAAAACTTGTTCCTTTCTAAAGTAAACCTGAAGAACTTAATTAACATATAGACGATATTCCACTATTAGATATATGGATGAGAAATGCCTTATCGGTGCATTATATTGCAGGATTATAAGTATGTGTGCGTGTATAATCAAAAGAAATATATAAACACATTGAATATTTTTAGAAAAAAGGTTCAATCTGATATGGAAGGTTATATTTTACCCAGGTGTTTCCATAAAGTGTGACAAATTGGTGAAATTCACAGCATTCAATCTTCTGCTAAATAACATTGTGCTCTGGTATTGTCAATGGAATAACCAAGTAAAATGCTTTGAATCTTTTCTTCCTAGTTTACTTGCATTTCAGCCACTATCATTTCCTATGATATTTTTAGAAGAAGGATTACAGGACCATTATTTTTTCCTTTTTTGTTTGTGGGATATAGGTCAGAGAAAATGAGTACCCTAGCAACAGCTGGACCAGGACCAGAAAATTTCTTGCAACATCAAACACTACTCACGGAGCCAGAGTTAATCTGAAGTTCAATTTCTCTGTAACAATAAAACTTCCCACTACTTTGCTAGTAAATAAGTTGCACTTTGATGCTTTAAAAAAACTTTATACTGTAT